AAACTCAAGGAGACAGAAGCCTCAAAGAGACAGTGTGGTGGGTGAGTGTCAGAAAACATGTTCCTCAGTCTGAATTTGCTGGGACATGACCAGTAACCGGGCAGAGGGAAAAAAGACTATGAAACGGGCCTGCAGAATTTGTGCAACTTGAGCTGATGCTCAGACCAAAGTCAGTGAAGAAAGCTCAGCTTCCTTTGTGGCCAGCAATGATTCCAAAGTTACAAGGGTGCAATGGAGAGGTGTAAGACAAAGGTGGGCAAGTGGGGCGAAGAGCCCACAGGCCTGGGCCTACTAACCAGACCCTGGGAGGGAATTTGCTGGAGGTCTTGGCCAGCAAGCAAGAAGAAAGCCTCCATCTTTGTGGCTAGCAACAACCCTCTAACTACAATTCCAGAATACGCTCAGTAGCAAACAGTGCCAGCAACCAGAAGGAGGGCTAGAATAATATGAAATGGATCTGCAGAACTTGCACAACTCTTACCATACTCAAGCTGATGCTCGGGCCAAAGCCTGCAAAGAAAGCCTCCACAATTCAAGTAGGACACAGAAGAGAAGCCTCAGCAGTACTTGTGGCCATACAAAATGGACCTGCAGAACTTGTGCAACAATTCAAGTAGACAGAAGAGAAGCCCTAGCAGTAGTTGTGGCCATAAACAATTCAAATATTAAAGTGTGTAACAGCAATTCATAATTTGTAATAATTCTTAATAATGCATGTATATACTTTAGTACACATTCATTACAGATTTCTTTACATTCTTATTTACAGCAACAGTTGCTTGATAGTAGGCTAGTGAGGAGACTGTCACTCAATGAACTTGAGTCCCTTCAATGATGCACTTTACACTGCATAGTGTCCTATTGAAAATAACCTCAGCTGCATTTGTGGCCTGGCAAGCAACCAAGGAGGAGGGCGAAAAGAAAGCCTTGCCCTCCTCCTGGCGTGGAATCAGGCTCAGAATTCGGTACTTTTCCACAAGCCAGAAGGCCCAGCCACGGAAATAGAGAGACCTAGGGAGGAGCTTGAACCAGGAGGTAGGCATTCTCCCCCTTCCCGCCATGGGGAAAGAGGCAGGATGGGTACATAATCACCTACCTTATGCTCACTATCTGCTTTCTCATCATAAGGAATTGAACTATAACTATAAATCTATATAACGTAAGTCTATATAAAATAAGTATATATCCTATATTGGCTATATATATATGGTGGAGGCCCAGGATGTGTGTGATGTATGCCCAGGATGTGTGTGATGTGTGCTGCAAGAGGCAGCTGGAGTGGGGGAGAGGGGGGTGATAAGGCAGATTTACCTGCTTAGAAATGCTGTGATAAGGAATTGAACCGTTATACTTATTATTGACCATTAATAAATCATCATTAATATTACTATTCCTACAAACTCTTATTAATATATTACTATTGGAATTAATAGTATTATTGACTCCTATTATCAGTATTACCTGTGATTACATTATAAGTCTATATAAGTCTATAGGATGAAAGGCAACTATAATTATAATGCATAATAGTTCAGTTGTTGAGAGAATCCTGAAGGAAGTGTTGTCATCCTCTTCATTTTTTCTTTCTTCCTTTCTCTTTCTGCTTCTTGTCATGCCAACAGGGATCGATCAGCCAGCAGCTGGCAGTGGGATGGGATCTAAAAACCAGAGGGAGGGAGAATAGAAAAAGTATCAGAATTTGTATTGGTGCCTCTTGTGCACCTCATGTACCTTCCTTCATGCCCATAAAATTCCACCAGCCCCATTCACAGTAAATTTGAACTAAACAATGCATCCCTCACAACCAGAGATGGACTCTATCAGAGTGCAGGGCAGTGACATACTGACGGTGGCAGGCAGGGTGGCCACCCCAGGCATGGACGCAAATGGGGCACCATTGGCAGGTGCAAAGGACCACTCCGGGCTGCTCGCCCTCCCTCCTCCCCCGCCACTGCTGAAAGCGCCGCAGAAGGCGGCTTGTCTGGGGCACATGGGAGCGAGGGCAGTGGCACCCTGGGCTTGTCTCCTGTGCCCCGGAGACCCATGGTATGCCACTGGTGCAGGGTCTTGGGCAAATTAGCCTCCCCTCTCTCCCCCTGCACTGTACCGATCCCACGTGCCATGGTGGTGGTGGCAGGGGAGGGGAGTTGGCAAGCGTCTGGATGTGAGGCTGGCAGCAGCACTGAATCACCCCGACTGCTCCGCCCATCTCTGCAGGGCCCCCACAGCACTGAGTCTGGGGTGGTCACTTGTATTCATGCCCCCCTAGGGATGACCCTGCCACCCTCAGGGCATGGTTGCCCCGCCCAGCCCCAGCATCCCGGCACTTTAAGAAAAAAAAAGCCTCACCAGCTTTTGCAGTGGTCATTGGACCTTCTAGGGGCTCATTGCAGAGCCTCCCATGCAGTGGGGGGCAGTGGGGATCAACCCCCACCTGGCAAGAGCCAATGAGTGCAGGACTTTTTTTTTTAAGAACTGGGAGCTGGGGCCAGGCAGGGCAGGCATGTGGGGGAGGGGGGCTGGGAGAGTAGGCAGAGGACGGGGGCTCATGGCAGAGCCCCCCAAGCAGCATGGGGCAGTGGGGGGCAACAGGGATTGCCCCCCCCCACCTGGCAGCAGTCAGTGAGTATTGGGTTTTTTTTTTAAAGAGCTGGGTCACGGGTTGGGTGGGGCAGCCATTAGGTTCAGAGGTGCTCAGGGGGGCTGGGGGAGCAGGCATGGGATGGGACCTGGTGGGGATCCCCCCATGGTCCCTTCCTTCAACCCCCCCTGCCCCCTACTTATCAGCACAGAGTCTGGGTCCAGCTCCCTGTGGCGGTGAGTGGGGACTACCCAAATCTCTGAAATTCTCTGAATTTTTTCCGAATCGATTCAGAGAGCTTTGAATCAACAGACCTTTTTACTGGTCTCTCAATTTGATTCAGATTTGGAGGTTTGGTCACCAAATCAGGCTGAATCGCCTCCAAGTTGAAGCAGCACCCAAAGCTTTGCACAGCCCTACAGGAAATCATGAGGTTTTATTGTTTGCAACACACTATTTTAGTTACTTGTGCTTCTTTGCCTTCACCCAACCATGACCCTGAATCACCCCTGTCTCCCTGAAATGCATTGGTGCCCTCCTGGCCCTGCTGGCAGTAATACGGCCCTCCTGTGACCCCACTGAGTTAGGGGGAACAGGCTGGGCCATAATTCTCTGTCTGAGTTTTTCCTGCACAGAGGCAAGTTGAGTGGACTGACTTTTCTCTTTCGGATATGGTACCCATTTATTTAAAAAGTACTTCTGCATACTCTGAAAGACATCACTGAAAGTGTCCTGTGACCTGTAATTCAACATGGGACTTGTTGACCACATCTCTGAAATTCCTCATGGTGTCTCACACTTCCTTGAGGATGGCATCATCCTTACAGAGACTCATGGAGTTCCTCCTGTCAGGCATCTGTGCATTCCACTCTGGCTACTGAGGACTCTGCCAAAACCTTGAGCTCAGTTTTGTGGTACCATCTCTGCTTGCTGCAAAAACCTCTGCAGCGCTCTGCTGTAGTGTGAGTGGGGCGCAGTTCCAGCTGGCCATGGGTCATGGTGACTGATAACGAAAAAAGCAATGGTTGTCTTCCCCCCAAGAGGAGGAAAGTACACACTCCCATCCTCACCATGCAGTGCACAAAATGCTGGCAGGCACAGAAACAGACCCTGCAACAGTGGGGCACCACTCGTACTGCCCAAAACGTACAAGTACTTGCTTTGGAAACAGGTCCATGGTTGCCACTGTTCGTGCTAGCTGCAAAAAATTAATTAAAGCAAATTAGTTTGGCATCTGTTACATTGTAAGCTATCCAACCCATCATGCACCACCACCAAAAGAACATGGTGATCCACCTACAGCAACACATGAATTTCTCCCTTTCTCCCCCGGCCCCCCAAACCCAACCAACAGAAACCCAAGAGTTGCCTGTCAGTGGCAAGAGACACATTGCAAAATACTTACCAGGTCCAGCATGCTTTTGGGTCTCGGTAACAGTAGATGAGGTATCGGCCGTATGGGTTTCTTTCTGACCCTCCACCTACTCTGCTTCATTATTTGTGCTAGTGATGAAGAAATTCAGACAGGATCAGTGTTTGGCTATCAGAAGCACTTTATTTTGTGAGGCCATGGGAGAAAAAGCAAGGGGCAGCTAATTCTCAACGACAGCAAAGCACAGACCCCTTTATATATTAGTAAGCTACGTACAGGTCAACCTGCCCCATAACATACTCTTGGCAGTCTGACAGCAACTCATCCTGTTGTTTGCTGAACCAAGCACGGTTTTCTCAAGCTGTCTCCTGATAAGATTATCCTGAAGCCTGCCTTGTTGTTGCTACTCGGCCTTCACCCACATCCCCCATCCTGTCCTGACACATATACACTTCTCCCAGTACTTTTCCATTCCTCATCACTAGTCTGTGGAATGGGGCTAAGTGGCACTAAGTGTATGGTGACCAACAGTTCTTCCTGCCACTCATGGTCATCAGGGAGTGGTCTCCATACATCTGAGACATGCTGCTCATGGTTTCACCCTCAGGAGGAGCTGCCACCACCTCCTCCTGCCCAGCTCTGGTGCTGAAAGTCTCCATACCTGGGTTGTCGCCCCCATCCTTGGAGAGAATGATGGACAGTTTGTCATAGAACGGAGCAATGGTGTGACCTGCCCCAGAACTAGAGTTCACAGCTTTGGCTCTGTAAAACGCTGATCTCAGGGACTTGATCTTGTACCGGACCTGGATCCAGTCACAATTGTGCCCTCATGCCTGTATGCCTTTTGCGATCTCAACATAAACAGGCTTATTTCTCCTATTTTCAAGCCTGTCTATGATCCTTTGCTCCGACCAAATGTCGATTAAGTCCTCCAGTTTTTCCCGGTGGTTCCACAGGCATTGGGGCTTCGGCTGCATACTTCTGGCCTTGGCTTTCTGAGACATGGTGAAGCAGTTCATGGTCAACAGCACAAGTGATTTGTGGCAGGCTGTGCTTGCATGAGAGTCTGGGAAAATTCCAAGGATTGTGAAGTCATTACCTGTAAGTGTCAAAACACCCAAAGGTGATGAAGCACACCAACAAAGACCTGGTGATGGGGTAAATAAGGCCATTGTACTTTGGAATGGCTGCTCAATGGCCCAGAATGTTGCAAAAATTGATACTCACCTGCCTGCTTGTGCAAAATAATTTTATTACAGAAGCACAGCCTGTTATTCCTAAAGTGGCAAAAGTTTTTAGTTGCCTACATTACTAGGAGAGCAAACATTTTTTGTTTGCAAGCTTGTTTACATCAGAACACCAGTGGCTGCTAAGCTCAGGATGAAAGGATGTGAGGATGTGCAAAGCCCCAGTGCCCCAGGGTGAAGTGTTGAAAAAGCAGCTACACCAAGCTCCAGACCACACAACACCCCATGGTCACCACTCTGTATAGATACATAAGAAGTATGCCAGGGTAGCACAGTTCAGATCCCTTCTCTTGCTCAAAATGCAGTCAGATCTTTAAGAGCCACTTATGGTCAGGTTCTCAGTTTTATCTGGGAGAAAATAACTCCACCAGCCAGTAGTTTAATTAAAATGGGGTGGCTGGGGCAACTGGGTCTCAATTTGAGGGCATGGGGTGAAAAAAAATAAAGCTGCTGCCACAGCTGCAGCTGCAGCCAGTCGCTTACACTGGTGGCACAGTGGCATCTGGAAATCACTGCTCCCCCCATGTGTCCTGCTGCCCCATATGCCCAACTGCCTTGTTTTGCTTTTGCCACCAGCAGAACTCCCCTTAACACTGCATAGCTCAGGATTAACTCAAAGAAATGAATGGCATCTCATGTGGCACTGACAGGCCCCCATGTCCATGGCTCACAAGATGTGCTGAGGATTTCAAAAGGTGACAGACAGGCCAGGAGCATGCCTACTCTACAGCAAACTGTTCAGCAATGCCAAGGTGACACATGCTAAAAAAAAAAGGAAGGCCCTTTTTTCCCCTCCAGTATTTGTCAGAGATTGATGGCCTCTGCAGGATGCTGCTGCAGCTGCTCACTGAGATTCCAGGTTAGGCTTTTATTAACCCCTGGGAAGAATGATGCTGTGAACACAGAGGAACAAGGCTGGAATGGAGTCAAAGCCCTGTTCTCTTTCAGGCAAGAAAAGAAATCTGTCTGTTCTCCTCTAGTATCATCACGGGAGTTTAATTTCCTAAATGCATTCAAAAGATAGGGTCTCCTGTACATTCTGCTACTAGCTTGACCATCAAGCTTTGCAAACCCTGAGGACACCTGTTCTGAGCATGCTCACTGGGGCCTGCCCCCCCCCCCCCCCAAAAAAAAAAAAAAAAAAAAAAAGAAGCTAGAAACAGTAAATGTTCTGAGGAACATGTTGACTGTTTGGGACTTTACAAGGGCTGCCTGTTTGGGATCCTTCATATTCCAGGGAAACTACAGCATAAATAATACATCAACACTCCTCCCAGAGAATGCTTTGAGTCCTTCAGACTATGAATATCCAGTCTCATGATCTTCCTTTCCTTCCTGTGCTCACCATGCCCTCCAAGGCCTCAGAGAACAGCAACAGTTCTCTGGTTGAAGGACTGGAAGGAGCTTCTTGAAGATGCTACCATATTTGAGTCAGCAAGAGGAGACATGGAACCTTAGGTCTATAGACTGAAAATACTGCTTGTGTACTTGAGGTATGGTTGAGGTATTAGAGGCCACTGCACCATCCAGAGGATCCAGATAACAACTAGCACAAGTAGGCTACCCATTGCATTGCTTATGTAGAGCTAGATGCAGTGAGAGACAGGTGCATATTACACTACAGCCTGTAATATCCATAGCAGGCAGAAAGAGTCCTCTGCCTCCGCAACCAGAGTGCCTGATTCTTCTCTCACTCCTGCCGACGTACGGCCACCCAAACCAATAGGGTTCTTCCTGCAAGATGGCGCTGATGAACCACAGCACCACAGGCCGTAGATGGCTAATAAGACAGCACAACTGTCAGCTGAATCCCTGAAGTAATAGCACCCCTCAGGGGATCCCAGAATGCTGTGTAGACCAGAAGTGACCATGCCTTCCAGCCCTGGGCCAACAGGAGCCACGGGAAGTGTGAGTCACTACTGGCAGCTCTATTGCCTGAATCTGTTCCTCTCCACCACCCATGTATCACCCTTGTTTGCCTTTTTTCACCCCAGTCCCTCTTTCTCATCCTGCCCAAGCTGCTACTAGAACCTCTCTGGTCTGTCTTCCTGCCTACTCCCTGCCTGGGCCATCCCCTGCAGCCACCACCTCTCTGGACTTTAGGACCAAGCAGCATACAGTAACGTAATTCACCATCATGACACTTTCATGATGACTTGGGTGCACACCTTGTTTTTGGCAAAGCTGAATTGCATTTTTTAACGGTAAAACAAGATTATCCATTAGAGAAGCTCCCCAATGTATTGTGTTGTAGCAGCAACACAGCACACAGCCATGTAATGCTGGCTACCTAAGTGAATTGATATGCTAGTATCAGTCCAGTTCCCAGTGTGACATCCTTTAAACCATCTTCTCAGTGCTTTGCTTCCTTGTTGGCATTCTGAGCTCTGACTGCATGGTGCTGCGTGTTCGGGTTTGCACGACATGCCATACATATTTGCATGAGCAGCACTTTTGAGTGAGTTAAGCCTCATGTGTCATTCCCTGCAGATTTCAGTAGGGGGAGTCAAATACCAGTTTACCCCCTGTAATGTCTTTCCTAATGTATTACAGCAGGAGGTGCATGTAATCCACCCCGCCTTCCCAGTCCTCTCTGGGCAGACTCTCACTGGGCAGTCCTGACTCTCACTGGGAGTCTCCCCTGGGCATAGTTGTGGTCACCCCATTTGCCAACAGAGTTCAAATGGTTGTTTCCTCTCCTCAGTCAAAAGAAGAAAGGTGTTTTCCTAGATATCTCTGCATGGTGATTACTGACAAAGCTTGATAATTTGATGGTGACTCTTGATCCACATTATTCTCTCTAGTTCCAATGGGCTCTACTATTCTTCAGTTCTTCCCCTACGTTGCTCTACAGTCTTGCTGTGTTCTGTAACATTTATGCTTCCTCCCCAGAAGTGGCTGGTTTTTTTACACTGGAAGAGAAGCATCTTCTACATATGAAGAGACAGGTCCTGAGCAGGTGGAAACTGGAAAAGCTCTAGGGACTTGAGCTGTGCAGCTTCGTACCAGCTGAGGGTCTAGTCCAAAGGCTCTGAAGCACTTTCAGTTCTTGGGGGATACTCAGCAGCCATTCACTTGGTGGAGTTTAGAGTTAATTTGTGGTGCTGAGAAAAAGATCCTCAAATCATGTGATAGAAAGCTTCATCTGGTTCTACAGACTTTGGGCCTTGAAACTTTTTTGCCTGCTTTGCTGGGGGGCTGGGTGGCCTGGGGCTTCAGCTGTTTTGTCACCTTCCAGTGGAACCGATTCTCTCCAGATGAATAAGAGAAGCCTGTGTCTTCACCAACCCACCATTTGGCAAGGTTTCTGCTGCTTGCATTAATTAACAGAGCAAGTTGGTGACTACAGCAGGTTTGTTTGATTGCCTTATTTAAACAGGATTGCAGTAATCGTTTTGTGTACATGTAATCAGAGAGTTTCCTGATGCTCCCTTGTATCCTCTGCATCCTCACAAATATTAGAAAGGTGTCTCCTGGCACATGAGGTGAATTCAGGGCTTTCAGGTGTGGGCACCCACAGTAAGTGAGAGCCATTAAACCTCAATAGTGCATGATAATCTTGGCACTTGATATGGTCAGAGCAATGTATAAATTCTATTTATCTTCCCAGCATCTGAACTGTCTTCCTGAAGCCAATATTTAACAGGTACATTATCTTAATTTAAACATTATCTAACCCAGAACAATAAGCCTATTGGAAACTTCAGTCTTCCATGAAACAAGAACACCCTTTGAGGGGGATAGAGATAGAGCACTGCACCCCCATAAGGGTGGAGAAATATCCTCATGGTAGATGGGAGAGAGACAGGCCTTGATGAGACCATCCGTTCTGTCCATCACAGAAGATTCAGGTTCCTCCTCCTGTCTTCACTCCTCTGCAGTGTAGAGTTTTCCCACCCCATCTGTCTGAATGCAGCTCAGTACAACAATGCAGAGAAGTGCCACCATCTAACTGCTGCTCAGTAGTATATATACAATGAATTGGTGGCTCCCAGGGGGTATCACAACACCACCATTATCATAATTGACTGGCTCTCTTGCATCCATACTGGCCTCTATCTTCTTTTCTATTCCATCCAAGAAGAGCATAGACCAA